CCCCCTCGGACGGGGCGGGGAACGAGTCCCGCGTGTTCCCGAGTCACCCCGTGCGCGCGTGCCGGATGGGGCCGCGGCAAACGCGCGGGCTGGCCTGCTGCCGGCCGTTCCCAAGGGTGCCCGAAAGCTCCTGAAAGGCTTTTGCCTGCTTCTCCCCCTTTTTCTTTTTTCTTTTAATTAATGGAGACAAATGCTGTTATTGCTGATGGAGGACTTATAATGACAATGTTTTGACCTTGGGGAAAATATAGATAAAAGTTTTCTACATATAACATATAGTATCGTGCCCTATTTTCACTGCAACTTCTGTATAAACCCGGAGGCCGGGACGTCCTCGGTGCTCGTTTCTGAGCCCCGCACTGCCGAAATCCCCGTCAGTGCCCAGCTGCCCTGCGAGCGCAGTCCGAGACTGTCTAGTGTGAAAAGTGGCTTTTACAAACTCAGCTGGCAAAGCTCTGGGGTGACGGCGCGCCGTGTGCGCTGGGCCGCGGGAGAGGCGGTAGCTGGGCAGGGGCGCCCCAATATCGCAGGGTTTGGGATATTCGCTCTTCTTTCCGAGAGAGCAACTGTCCCGCCAGGACGCTCGCCGGCGGGTTGCACATCTCGAGTGCGTTTAAATCATATTAACAAAGCGCATCTGTCTTGGCCCGATGCTAAGGATCGGTGCTGTGGTTCAGGGCCGCTGCTGCTGCTGTCGGGGTCAGGGGAATTATCTAACACAGGCTCAAACGTTTCTAAACAGCCGTTGGTTACAGCTGAGTTAATTTACATGGCTTAGCTGTTGGAAATACCGTGCCTGAGCTATTCATATACACTGAACGCCCGAGCAAGGCAAGGCTGGCATTTTAGATGAGAGGCAGGATCAGGGAGCAGAGGAAAAAAGTGTTTCTAAATAGTAATAATAATAAAATCCCTTCCACTTCAAAGTCTTGGAGGTTGGTTTTGTCATGGGGGAGGAGGAGAAGTGGGACAGCATCTCCCGAGCTCTGTGAAGGGAAGACTGAGGTTTGTGCTCCTTTTT